AGGAAGCTAAGGCAGGAAGATCATGATGAGTTTGAGGACAGCCTGGGGAGTTCAAAGCCACCCAGGCCTAAAAGACCTAAATGTGAAATTTAAAACAAAATTTTCTCCAGATTAAAATCTAGGAGGGTAGCTTCAGACCCTGAATAAGAATGTCTCAAGTCACAAAACACTATAAAAAAAACCTGGCAGATTAGGACTTCATTAAAATTAAATCTCTTGCTGGGTGTGGTGGTGCACACCTGTAATCCTAGCACTCAGGTTGAGGCACGAGGATCACCGAGAGTTCGAGGCCAGCCTGGGCTACATAGTGAGTTCAAGACCAACCTGTACTACATAATGAGAACTTGACTCAAAAAAAAAAAAAAAATTTAAGAAATCTCTGTCCATTAAAAGACAACAGTTGGCTACTGAATTTTAATTGGCTTGAGAAGAACTAGTAATAAAATGTAAAGGTGATAACGGTTAAAAAAAAAAAAAAAAAAGAGACAACAGTAAGAAGCCATGAGTGGTGGTGCAAACCTGTAATCTCAGCATTTGGCAGGCTGAGGCAAGAGGAATGCCACAAGTTCAGGGTCAATCTGGACTGTTTAGTAAGTTCAAGGCCAGCCTGAACTAAATAGCAAGATCCTATCTCAAACAAACAGCTGAGTGTGGTGGCATACACCTATAATCCCAGTATTTGGGAGGAAGGTTACCCTGAGTTCAAAGCCAACCGCCTGCAATGCACTGGATTCCTGTTGCTCCATGTCCTCTCTAGCACTTCAGCTGTCATTTTGCTGGATTTTGGCCATTCTAGGATGTACCTGAAGTGCATCAGGTTTTTTATTGCTATTTAGTGAGTTCAATGGGTTTTATTGCTACACAGTGAGTTCAATGCCACCCTGAACTACAAAGTGAGACCTTGTTTCAAAAGATCCAAAATAAATTTAAAAAAAAAACAGGGGCTGGGGATTTAGCTCAGCAGCACAGCACCTGCCTGGCAAGTGCAAGGTCATGAGTTCGATTCCCAGTACTGGGAAAAAAGAACAAAAAAATAAAAAAATAAAAAAAAAAAAACAAAAAAGGACAATAGTAAGTGAAAACAAAGATACAGACTTGTACAAAATAAGTACATCCAAAACAGGACCTGTGCCAGGTGTGATGGCGCACAACTGTAATCCCAGCATTCAGGAGTCTGAGGCCAGCCTGGGCTATATACCATCTTTTCCCAAAAATAAGACCAGATCTTACACTAATTTTTGCTCTAAAAAGATGCAATAGGGCTTACTTTCAGGAGATGTCTTATTTTTTCATGTACAACAATCTGTATCTAGTGAGGTACAAAAAAATCTACGTATTCAAGTATAGAAATCCACATTCATCCAAATACAGTCATGTCATCTTCTGCTGGAACATCATTGTAAGTCCAAACCTTGAACTCCAGCCTGAATTTCTTTCAACTCCATTTCCTGTAGAACCACTGGCCTCAATCTCTCATGTCTAGCAACACAGCTCTCCTTAAGTGAGTGCTGCTTGTCCATGTAGTCTGCTCATAGTACACTGGCAACGCAGCTGTCAGTGATTTTGTCCCATGGATTCTTCACCCAACCTCATGACCTCTTGCAAGCCGGCTTCACTAAGTTTTCATTAAATCAAGTGTTAATTGAAGGCTTCCAGGACAGGGGTGGCAACAAAAATGATGACAGCTAAGAAAGATAGTCTATACAAAAGCAACAAAAAATTAAAGATACCAAAATTTAGAAAACTTTTCTTTATTTCTCAAGAGTATATGAAGTATGTCTGTTACAACACAAGACATATTAAATTATGATGATTCATATTAGACACAGGCACACACAAATCCTAGGCTTGAGCTCCAATACCAAAAAAAAAAAAAAAAAAAAAGGAAGAGGAAAAAAAACTGATCCATCTTAAGACAATGGAATATTATTCTACACTAAAAGGAAATAGAAATAGGATATTAAACTATGGAGAAATGTAGCACAAATTTGAATGCATAGCCCCAGCTAGAAGGAGTCAGTCTGAAAAGGCCACATACTGTGAGACACCAGCCTCTGGGACACTCTGGGAGACTGTGTAGAGCTGTGGCTGCAGGGGTCGGGCGGGAGGAGGGATGAACAGACCAAACACAAAACTGTAGACAGTGAAAAGACTCCATGTGACACCACAGTGGTGGACACTTGCTCACATCCACAGCATACATGACAGAGAGTGACTCTGACGTACACAGGGGGCTTGAACAGTGCTGTCAGTATGGGATCATTCATGGTGACAGGTGCCCTACTGTGGAGGGCAGCTGTGGGGTGTGGATGGGATGCAGGGGCTGTACTGTGATGGAAATTTTAAAAATTTAAAAATCAACTAGTAGTCTCACACCACATTAGGACAAAATAAGATCGTGCAGCCCACCACCTAGCTTGTCTGTTGGATTCAGTCAGCCTTGACTGACTACACCCAGCTACAGACCACAGATAACCTGACCCAGCTCAGTTTGACTGCACCTAGCTGCACAGCCTGTACTTTCCAGCCCCCAAACATACCCTGTTTGCTCATTTGTTTCAAGGACTTTCTACTCATCAATGAAGACTGATGCTACCCAATAAAAATTCACCACGCTTTTAAGCTTTTGTATCTCCTGCTTGCAAAACCTGTATAAACTAAGCCCAAAGCGGGCTCTAGGCTGATGCTTTGGGAGCAGTCCCCCATCAGCCTGCAGCTTAATCAAGTTGGTTGCCTTCCAACTCCTTTGTGCACAGCATTTTCCACTCAGTTCAGTACCGGGTTTCGTAACACTACCTCAGTTCAGCTGTGAGCCTAAAACTGCTCTAACAAGCATCCCAGCAAGCAGACAAATCAAACAGGTAGAAAGGCAAAAATGTCTCTCCCAGACCCCTTCTCCATCCAACACAGCTTATGTGCTCTATAGATCCAAATAGGAGTCCTGAGAGTACACATGTGGAAGGTAGGCAAGTCAGAAACACAGCCCTCACAGACAGTGGGAATGGCAGTTCATTTCTTTCCATCTTTATGGTCTCACTATGTAGTATAGGCTGTCCTTGAACTCACTTATGTAGCCTAGGCTGGTCTCGAACTCACAGCAATCCTCTCAAGTGCTGGGATTACAGGCGTGCACCACAATGCCTAGCAATCTTTGTGGTTTTTTTTCAGAAAGGCAATCACACGCTCTGAAGACAAATTTATAGATTTTAACCAAACCCATCAAGCTGGGTTGGGAGCAGGACACAACTGCAAAGCTGGTATTCCAAAGTAAGGTGCACTCAGGGCTGGGAATGTAGCTCAGCAGCACAGGACTTGCCTAGCAAGGGCAAGGCCCTGAGTTCGATTCCTGGTACCAAAAAAAGAATAAATGTCAATAAATGCAAAACTCAAAAGTAAGGTGCACTTGAGCACAGACTATAACGTAGAACTTAGAATCTGGCTAGACATTGGGGCACATGCTATAGTCCCAGCTACTCAGGAGGTGAGGCAAAGGGATCAAAAATTCAAGCAGAGCCTGGGCAACTTTGCAAGGGAGCAAGGGAGGATATAGCTTAGTGGTAGAGCACTTGCCCAGCAAGTCCCTGGGTTCAATCTTCTGTACTGCAAAGAACAAACATAAAACAAGAACAAACAACAGAATTTGGAGATGATGATTCACCAGAAGAGCAACTGGAGGGTGCCAACCCGGAAAGTAGAATCTGTTCCACAAATGATCTTGGGTACCCTGGGTATCTATGCAAAGAATGGCCCTTTGCTTATGCCACATGCTCATATTAACCGAAGGACCAGAACCTACACATGAGGGCTGACACCATGACACCACACGTACGAGCACTCATCTCTGTGATGTGGACCCAATCAGGTAATGTTCCCTACTTATGACACTAAAAGTATAGGCAACAAAAGGAGAAACTGGACATTACAAAATGAAAAACCTGGTGCTTCAAAAAACCTCATCAAGAACTGAAAACATAGCCCATGAAATGGAAGAAAATTTTCTGCAAATCAGGTATTGGATAAAGACTTGTATCTACCCATGTGTGGTGGCACACACCTGTAATTCCAGCACTCAGAAGGTTGAGGTAAGAGGATCTCCTTGAGTTCAATCCAGCCTGAACTGCATAGTAAGAATCTCTCAAAAAAAAAAAAAAAAAAAATCAGGCCCCTCTAAAAAAACTTAAAATAGGGGCTGGGGATTTAGCTCAGTGGCACAGCGCCTGCCTGGCAAGCGCA